GCTCTAGCAGGCGGCGAACAGCGGCGGCGGTGCGTCGGCAGGCTGCTGCGTCGGCGGTGGTGCGGCGGGCTGATGGTAGGCGACGGGTGAGGAGGGCTCTCGGTGGTTCACGGGTAGAGAGGAAGAGGGAAGAAGGCTTTGGGAAGTTAGGGATTTTGGGGAAAAATTGGGGAAAAGATGATTTAATTTGGGAATTTGGGTAAAGTGAAAATTTAAGGTTTAAGTGGAATTAAAAATGAGTTAGTTTTAAGAAAGATAATTAGCTCAAGTGGTTTAGAGGTTAGGTTAGCAAAGAATAGGCTTGAGTTTGAAACTCAAGAGTTGTAATTAAACATTTTTCTTGAATTTTAGGCTACACAAGAGAGGATTTTGTATGGGTTTTCTATTCTCACATTCAAAGAATACTTGGAAAATCTAGAGGGTTCTCAAAGGAAAGGTTGCAAGAATTTCCAAGTGCAAGGATTGTAGAATCATTCAAAGCATGATTCATTTATGAGATAAATAATTACTTTCACAACGAAACTTACCCACAAAACTAGGGAAATAATCTATCAAGAAGGGCTTACACTTAACTCCAAAGAATCATTATAAACGAAATATGACAAGGATAGCTAAGTAACTCAAGTATGCAACAAAGGACACAGGACAACACTCAAGGTAACAAGGAACAAGATGCGCACAAGGAATAAGGGTAGGTTAGGAAAGGATTACCTGCGAGCTCCTCCTCCACTAAACCCTCGGTCTCCGCTTGCGAACGCCCCATCACAAAGACTCTCCCTGCTGGCCTGGCCCCAGCTGCTCCGCGGCTCGAGCTACCTCCCGCTGATCCTCCGGCTCCAGGGGGTGGCGGCAGCGCTCTTTGATTGACCGGATGAGGGCACTCAGCAACCTTGTGGCCCCTATCTCCGCATCGGTAACATCGGAACGCTTGGCCATTGCAGTCCTGGCCCGCGTGCACCTTCCCACATCTACGGCATGCAAACGTCTTGACTTGGTTCCCTTGCTCCATCCGGTTGGGTACTTGAGTCAAAGATGGCCCACTCTTGGCTTGAAAACTCGACCGTGACTTCTTGAAGGTGGAAGAGCCTCCACTCTCGGTCCTTTTCCTCGCTTGCTCATAAGATCCTCGCTGGAGCTACTGAACGCGATACAGATCCGCGGCACTCAGATAAGCATCCTTAAGAGAACTCGGCCTACTCACATTCAAAGCTTTTCGTGCCTCATAATTCAAGCCGGCAACAAATCTCTCGACCTTAGCGAGCTCCGTAGGCACGAGTATCCGAGCAAAGCGCGCCAACTCCAAAAACTTCTTGTGGTACTCGACCACAGACAGGGATCCTTGCTGCAGATGGAAGAACTCCTCGTACATAGCGGCTCGCACGTGTGCCGGGTAAAACCTCTCGCGCATCCTATCCTTAAGCGCAGACCAACCGAACTCAGGCTCTTCAAGGAAGGTCGGACCCTCATGAACCCACCACAGATCAGCCTCCTGGCAGAAGTAAAACGTTGCCAGTTCTACCCTTCTCTCCTCTGGACAACCCACAACAGCGAAGATCTTGTCGAACACTCTCATCCATTCCTCCAAAACCACCGGGTCTTCTTCACCCTTGAAGGTTGGCGGCCTATGACCTGACACCAAGCGGCCCATATCCCTGTGCCCAGCAGGTTGAGGAGGTGGCACGGGGTGGTTGTTGTTCAGCAAAGCCTCGCTAAGCATCTGCATCGTCTGTGTTAGCTGCTGGAGGTTCTGAGCAAGCTGCTCATTCGTCGGGGTCTCCGGGGTACGCGCTCGGGGAAGAGGAGGCATCACAAACTTCTACAACAACAACACGGTTACCAAAGATACAACAAGCAAGCAAATAACTGAAAGCAACACTCAGCTCACCGCGCAACCTAGAGTCCTAAGCCTCACACTTAGATTCTTAAGGTCACTTTAACGTCTCAAACCACTTAAAATTCTAGACTTAACCTTCCTAGGCTCAAACCAAGGCTCTGATACCAACTGTAACACCCCCAAAAACCATGCTATTTAAAGCCTTAAAACATGAAGATAACTTAAACAGAAACACCAAACACAGTGGAAGACTGAAAGAGAAGATATATATAAAACAAGGAAACGGGGTGCTATGCCATGCTCACCCAAAGGTGAACGCACAGGCTAAATCTGCATTGTTTAAAATCTACAACCATCCAACAGAGTACTAAGTCTAGATTGGCTCACAGGCCACAAAACATAAAAGGGGAGCTATACTAGCTGGCTCTAGACCGCGCACTCGTCTAAACATCACCTGAAAGAAGCATATAAAACATGGGACGACGCCCGTTCAGCGAATAATGCTGGTAACCCACCAATACATGTGAAATAACATACATAGATAAGGTATAAGTTGTAAAGCCATTTTCGAAACGGAATACATAGGTATAAGTTTAAAACCAAGAGTAATAGCCAACACAAGACTCAACACTCTCAACAAGAACACGGGAACACATCCCAAGACTACAAAGAACAACAACGACTCACAAGAAGTCTTAAGGTATAATCTATCATCACACAATAGATTCATACCCGACATGCATAACTCAAGGATTAAAGACAAAACAAACGGCAACACATGCCAAGGCAACACATGCATGTGTGACTACACACGTCACAAGAAGAGAACTCACAACAACGGCTACACAAGCCCTCGTGACATCACCCATCACGAGTTGATATGCCTTCCTTATGCCCGGGTCCAACCTTATGGCTATCCCCAACCTTATATCTTCTTCCAACCATTACCTCCAGGACCCCTGTACACCAAGTCCAACGTTTTCCCTCCGAGGACCGTCGTCCCCATCCGCCAACGACCACCAACAAAACCACCAATTTCATAGTACACGAGGGTACTGTTCATACACACGGCAACACATGCCTCTCCCAAAATACGTGAACCCTACACACAGGTCACAAACTCCATAATCACGTCATGGCCACCACGAGGACAACTGCAATACCTTGGTGACTAGTGTCCCATACCACTAATCGTGCAATCCAGGTAGATCCACACACACATCACACCACAACAGGAATCAATCAACAAATCACAACGAAGATATGAAACCATACTCAATCAAAGGAATGGATCACAGTCCAACAACAACAACGATGAATAACACAAGTTATCATCAACCAATAAGAAGGTACGAACAACACACACGCTAGCATTTAAACACCGAACTAGCATGCTTATCAAACGGGTAAACCAAACGTAGTTCCGAAGAACACACAAGACTCATCACGATTCAACGAAACACAATGTTGAACACTTAGCACGATTCAAGACACCAAAACCTACATGGATCTCTACCATATAGTTCTAGATATACGAAACATCAAGAAGATGCTCAAATAGTTCCACAAAAGAACAACGGGAAGTCAAAAGACCAATTACCGAGTCAAAAGAATCACGGGGAACAAATCCACATCATACACCACTGTGTACCCCGCGGGTGGACCAACTACTAGACCCCTACCTGCGGTTCCGCCCGCGGGTACATAACCCACGAAGCATGTACCCCGCGGGTGCGCGACGGGTGGACCTCCTACCCGCCGTTTCTCCCGCGGGTACACACCTGTACCACAATAAATCCCTTCGGGGATTTTCATCTCCAAACTCAAATTCAAGTACAAAACATGCCAAATCTCACCAAATACAACAAAATGACTTGATTCAAACGAGTAGCCAAGCAATGGAATACAAGAACCCTAAACACAAGCTCTAGATTTGCATTTTCACAAGACAATGCATAAACACTCACATTTCATAACAAAACACATGTAGAATCCAAGAAATATTCACATAGGTAAGCAAAATAGATTTTGTAGAGCATGGGTTACCTCTTGTAGACCAAAAACCTTCACTTAACATCTCACCAAGCTCCTATCAAAGCTCACCTTCCAAACCCACTTCAAGAACACACCAAAAGATCATAAAGATTCTATCGTTAAGAAAAGACACCTAAGAAGACAATAAAAACACAAGATGAACATGGATCTTACCTTCCTAGATGCCCAAATGTATGAATGGTAGAATCTTGGAGACAACTCTTGAAGTCTTGGCAAAGCTTCAACTTGGCTTGGAAGAAAAGCTATCCACCTTTTTGGAGAGAAGGTGGAGCTAGAATTTGGAAAGTGTAAGGAAAGAAATGAGGGTGTTCTTACTAGGTTAGGTTACAATACTAACACAATGTGAAAGGTCAAGAATAGCCTTACTAACATGGAAAGGTGTACGGGAATAAGGGAACTCCTTACAAAGCTCAAGGTACAACTTTGACTTTGGGGTTGACTAGTCAATTACTAGTCCCCGACTATTGAATTTTAGGAATTTAGGGAATTAAATTAAAAATTGAAATAGGATTAATTACTTAATTAATCCCTTAATCGAATTTGGATTTCGGGATGTCACAGTCTTTACTGACAAAATGAAAACGTCACCCGGACCGTCGGGTTAGTGGCTGGAATGGTATTCCTGATGAAGTTAATTTTTCGTCACAAAATATTACGATTACTGACGTTTTGGCATGGTCTTGATAATGTCTTTGAATACATACTTTTTACAACAAAATATTAACAAAAATGTCGGTAATAGTTTTTGACGAAGTAAAATATTTCGTTAGCAAATGTGTCTTTACTGACGTTTTCTATACAATTATGCTTGTCATTAATAAATTTAATTGGTGGCGAAAAATGAAATGCGTCAATAAAATAACATTTATTGACGATTGTGTACATTATTATGCTTTTAATAAAAAGACATTTACTGACGTTTTTTTCATATTCGTTTTTCATAGCAAAATTTTATATTTTGATATATTTGCAATTCTTTGACCCTTGATTGATGATAATTTATATATACTTTATATATATATATATATATATATATATATATATATATATATATATATATATATATATATATATATATATATATAGTGGTTTACACAACAGTTTCATGTAATTGAAAATAAAATATTTTAGCATCAATTAAATGTTCAAAATAGAAGAATATTATTCATAGTATTTAATCAATTTCAATTCTAGCAGTATACTCCACAAAACCAAAATTATATAACAAAGAAATGATAAATAAAATTCTAAACTTTGGGTATATCTTCAAATGTTGGTATGCCCCTTGAGTTCCTGTAACACTGAGCTTCGCATTCCGAAAATGTCATATACCCCATTGAAATGGGATGTTAGGTCATTTCATCCACTGAAGCCTCTTGAACCTCTCATCTTCATTGCACTCCAATCCTATTCTCCTCACACACCCTAAGAGATAAGAACACCACAATTCTGATCAAACAAAAATAAAGAAATAAAACTTAAAGCAAACCACATAAAAATATTAGAATACCATCGAACCGAACATTTTGTAAATGGCAAAAAAGATCCAGTTGTAACACCCCCTATTTCCATGCCAATTTAAACTTAAATATGCAGATAATCTAACCACAATATAAACAAATCACAGCGGAAGTCTAACTATATAAAACTGGAAAACGAAGAGTGTTATGCCACGTCCACACTAAGGTGAACGCACAGGCGAGAACAATATCAACATCATTAGTCTAACAAGGGACAAGGTCAAAACACATCAATCTAAAGTTCATCATAAAAGGCACACAGGACCATAACAAAGCTAACAAAGTCTGAGGCAACTACTCTATCCATCACTAGATCGCGATCGCCACTACTCGGGACCTGAAAAGCACATAAATAAATGGGACGACGCCCGGTCAGCGAATAATGCTGGTAAGCCATCAATACGCGTCAATAGCATATATATATAGATAGATAGTTTATTGCAAACTCATTTCGAAACGGAATACTGTATATATAAGTTCAAAGCCAACGATAGAAGTCAACCACAAGACTCTATATCTCTCACAACAAGGATAAGGGAACACATCCCAAGACACATCAAGAAGTAATAACGTGAACACAAGAAAGGCTCAAGGTGGATTCTACCATCACTCAGTAGAATATCACCCGACAAGCTCAACACAAGAGAATAAAGAGACACACACTGGCAACACATGCCTTCGTGACATCACACATCACGAATAGAGAAACACACAACGGCACACATGCCTTCGTGACATCACTCATCACGAATCAAAAATCCTTCCTTATGCCCGGTTCCAACCTTATGGCTACCCCCAACCTTATATCTAGTTCCAACCTTTACCTCCAGGACCCCTGTACAGCCAAGTCCAACCTTATCCCTCAGAGGACCGTCGTCCCCAACAACCAACAACCACCAACAATTCCACCAATTCATAGTACACGAGGGTACCGATCACACACTTTGGCAACACATACCATCACTCAGTAGAATATCACCCGACATGCTCAACACAAGAGAATAAAGAGACACACACAGATAACGCATGCCTTCGTGACATCACACATCACGAATAGAGAAACACACAACGGCACACATGCCTTCGTGACATCACTCATCACGAATCAATAATCCTTCCTTATGCCCGGTTCCAACCTTATGGCTACCCCCAACCTTATATCTAGTTCCAACCTTTACCTCCAGGACCCCTGTACAGCCAAGTCCAACCTTATCCCTCAGAGGACCGTCGTCCCCAACAACCAACGACCACCACCAATTCCACCAATTCATAGTACACGAGGGTACCGATCACACACTTTGGCAACACATGCCTCCCAAGGAATACGTGAACCCATCACACAGGTCAAAAACTCCATAATCACGTCATGGCCACCTCGAGGACCACTGCCTTACCTTGGTGACTAATGTCACATACCATTAATAGTGCAATCCAGGTACAGCCACACACACAACACCATCATAGGAATCAATCAACGGATCACAACGAAGATATGAAACCATACTCAACAATGAAAGGATCACAATCCGACAACAACGATGATTAACACAAGTCATCATCCACAATAGGAAAAGACAAACATCACACGCTAGCATTTCAACACCGAACTAGAATGCTTATCAAATGAGTAAACTAAGCATAGTTCCGAAGAACACACAAGACTCATCATGGTTCAATGAATCACAAGGTTGAACACTTAGCACGATTAAAGACACAAAAACCTACATGGAATCCTACCATATAGTTCTAGACATACGAAACATCAAGAAGACACTCAATCGCCCAACAAAAGAACATCGGGAAGTCAAAATATCAATTACCGAGTCAAAAGAAACACGGGGAACAAATCCCCAACAATCACCATATATGTACCCCGCGGGTGGGGCCACGGATGGACCCCCACCCGTGGTTCCGCCGGCGGGAACACACTCCCAAACGCCTTGTACCCCGCGGGTGGGGCGGCGGGTAAGCCACTGCCCGCCGTTCCGCCCGCGGGTACCATACCCTGTACAAAAATATCCCTTCGGGGATTTTCAACACCAAGCTCAAATTCAAGTCCAAAACACCCAAAATCTCACCAAATACAACAAAATGACTTGAATCAAAGGAATAGCCAAGGAACGGCATATAAGAACCCTAATAACAAGCTCTAGATATGCATTTTCACAAGACAATGCATCAACACTCACATTTCATAGCAAAATCACATGTAGAATCCAAGAAATCATCATATAGGTAAGTAAAATAAATTTTGTAAAGCATGGGTTACCTCTTGAAGACTAAACCTTCACTTTTAACACCTCTCAAAGCTTCTAACAAGGTTCACCTTCAACACCCACTTCAAGAACACACCAAAAGACCATAAAGATCTCATCTTTAGAAAAAGATACCTTAGAAAACACTAAAAACACAAAAGGAACATAGATCTTACCCTCCTAGATGCTCAAGAGTAGGAAATGTGGTATAACACCCCCTAAAACAGGCTAATTAAAAAGCCTTAACGCATGCAGATAACATAACAAAACACTAGCACAGCGGAAGATAAAAAGGGTAACTGGATAACATAGAATCCAAAAACAGGGGTGTTATGCCACGCTTATCAACACGATAAGCGCTACGGCCAAATCTGCATGGTATACAACTATCCAAAAACTCATAGTCTAAAGCTAAATCGGCTCACAGGACGTAAAGCAAGGGAAAGATACTACACTATCGGGTACTAGACATCGCGCTCGACTAGACATCACCTGTAAGAACACAAAGATAAACATGGGACGACGCCCGGTCAGCGAATGATGCTGGTAACCCACCAATACATGTGAAATAACATACATAAGTAAGGTATAAGCTGTAAAACCATTTTTGAAACGGAATACATATATACAAGTGTAAAACCAAGAGTCAAAGCCAACATAAGACTCAACACTCTCAACAAACAACACGGGAACACATCCCAAGACCACAAGAACAACACGACTCACAAAAGAGTCAAGGCATGATCTATCATCACTCAATAGATCAAAACCCGACAAGTACAACGCGAAAGAATAAGACTCACACAACCGGCAACACATGCCAAGGCCACACATGCCTTTGTGACTACACACGTCACAAGAGAAGAACACACAACACCGGCTACAATAGCCCTCGTGACATCACCCATCACGAGTTGGTATGCCTGCCTTATGCCCTGTTCCAACCTTATGGCTACCCCCAACCTTGTATCTTCATTCCAACCATTACCTCCAGGACCCCTATACTTCTTAGTCCAATCTTTTCCCTCCGGGACCGTCGTCCCCCACCAACAAAGCCACCAATTTCATAGTACACAAGGTACCGTACACACACATGGCAACACATGCCTTCCCAAGAAATACGTGGACCCATCACTCAGGCCACAACTCCATAATCACGTCATGGCCACCACGAGGACCGCTGCAATACCTTGGTGACTAGTGTCCCATACCACTAATCGTGCAATCCAGGTAAAGACACACACATCACACCTCAATAGGAATCAATAAACGGATTACAACAAAGGAATGAAACACACTCAATCAAGGAATGGGTCACAACCCAACAACAACAACGATGAGTAACACAAGTTATCATCAACCAAACGGAAGGTACCAACAACACACATGCTAGCATTTAGACATCAAACTAGAATGCATATCAACGGGGAAACCAAAGATAGTTCCGAGGAACACACAAGACACTTCACAGTCCAACGAAACACAATGTTGAACACTTAGCACGATTCAAGACACCAAAGTCCTACATGGATACCTACCATATAGTACTAGACATACGAAACATCAAGAAGACACTCAAATAATTCGACAAAAGAACGGGGAGTCAAAAAACCAAATACCGAGTCAAAAGAATCAAGGGGAACTAATCCCCTAATCATCTCATCATGTTCCCCGCGGGTGGACCCACGGGTGGTGCCCCGCCCGTGGTTCCGCCCGCGGGAACATCTCCCACGAAACCTTGTACCTGGGGGTGGGGCGACGGGTGCTGCCCCGCCCGCCGTTTCGCCCACGGGTACACGTCCTGTACCAAAGCAATCCCTTCGGGGATTTTCAACTCCAAGCTCAAATTCAAGTCCAAAACATGCCAAATCTCACCCAATACAACAAAATGACTTGAATCAAAGGAAATGCCAAGCAATGGCACAAATGAACCCTAAACACAAGCTCTAGATATGCATTTTCACAAGACAAATGCATAAACACTCACATTTCATAGCAAAATCACAAGTAGAATCCAAGAAATCACATATAGGTAAGCAAAATAGGTTTTGTAGAGCATGGGTTACCTCTTGTAGACTAAAAGACTTCACTTTACACCTCAACAAGCTCCCCATAAGGTTCACTTTCCAAACCCACTTCAAGAACAAACCAAAAGATCATAAAGATCCTACCTTTAAGAAAAAGACATCTAAGATGGAACCAAAAATACAAGATGGACTTAGATCTTACCCTCCTAGATGCCCAAATAGGTGAAAGGTTGAATCTTGGAAGCAAATCTTGAAGTCTTGGCAAGGTCTCAACTTAGCTTGAAGGAAAAGCTACTCACCTTTCTAGAGAGAAGGTAGAGCTAATGTTTTAGAAAGTGTAAGGGGTGAAATGAAGATGTCTTCTAGGTTAGGTTACAATACTAACACTTGGTGAAAGGTCAAGAATGCCCTTACTAACATTAGAAACTGTAAGGAACAAGGGAACTCCGTTCAAAGCTCAAGGTACAACATGACTTTGAAGTTGACTAGTCAAATACAAGTTCTCAAGTATTAAAAATCAGGATTTTAGGAATTAATTCCTCAATTGAAATAGGATTAATTACTCAATTAATCCATGGATTCAATATGGATTTTTGGGGTGTCACATCCCCTCCCCCTTCAAA